AATCATGTTTATTTTCCTAGCACATTTTTTCATCTAATGGTATATTCTATTTCTATTCTTTTACTGGTTACTCTTGAAAACTTACCATGCATACTTAATGAAGTCTAAAATTAACATCTCAATCTCCTCTTGAATAATGCAAGGACCAAAGAACACTTGAGCTCTGATAGTTGCCATATGACATACATCCTACATTTTATCCAGTGTTCTTAGTTCAACCCTTTTTTTGGTCAACTAATAGCCAAAGCTATTATTTTATACAGATGATGTTTGTTTACAATTACCTATGCACAGGGTTGGCTGCATTGTTTCAGGGCCCAGTGCAAAATAAACATGTGTACTTGATCAGAGAGCTGAAAAGCTTTTTCTTTCCTTCAGTCTCTCTCTCTCAACTTGACATGGTGGTTTTTTATTTGTTTGTTTGCTACTGTTTGTTTGCTACTGAATATTATGTACCTTGGGCACAGGGAAATCATGGGATGCATATAAACTCTCACAGGTACCCAGGACCCTTCCCCATGACTCAGAGCAGGGGGTACATATGACTGACCCTAACCCTCCCATTACCATGCCCAGGAAGGGCCCCTGCCCAGAGCAGTGGATGGCAGCAGTTGCTGGACAAGGGCCAGCAAGTAGGGGTTTGAGAACCAACTGGAGAGGCAGGGATGTGGCAGGAGGTAGGACTATATTAAGCCAAGACTCCAAACCCCTGGCACATTGTCCCATAACAGCTCACTTGCAAAACACAAATTCAAAGATAAACTTATTAAGAATTTCTCAATGGTGACCACAGAGCATCACATGTGAAGAACAGTGACCCCTTCTGAGCAAGGGCTCTGTACAACTGTCCTGATCACATGCCCAAGAAGCCCTCCCTGCCTCTGTGTTTGCCAGTTTCTTTGCTCACCATTTCTCCTTGCATGCCTAACCTTCCTTCTGAGGTCCTATTCCTTCCTGCAAAGTATATTATTTAGAAATTTCTTTAGTGAAGTTCCCTTAGGTGGTGGTGGACACTAGAATTTTATTTATCTGAACATTTTTTATTTCAACCTCATTCCTAAAGATAGTTTTGCTAGGTACCCAACTTTAGGTTGGTGGCTATTTTCTAATAGGTCTTTGAACTTCTTATTTTACTGTCTGGCTTCCTTTGTTTCTGTTAGCGAATAAGCTTTCACTATGTTTGGATTCCTTTGAAGAGAATCTGTTTTTTTTCTATCCAGCTCCTTCTAAGATCTCTTCAACTTAGATGATTTTCATTTTTACTACCAGATGCTCAGATGTGAGATTTATCTTTATTTATCACACTTGGAATCCTTTGGGCTTTCTATATTTGTGCTTTGATGATTTTCCTCAATCTGGAATATTCTCTCCAAAATTGCTTCCTCCACCTGCCTCTCCTTTGCTTCTGAGATGATGAATAGATCTCTATTAGATCTTTCCACTCTGTCCTCCATATATCAACTTCTTTATTATAGTTTCTGTATTTTTGACTCCCTGTACTGCACTCTATAGAATTTTTGACTCTCCCTTTCAGTTTATTACTTCATTTTTCAGTTTTGAATACTCTGCTACACTACCATCCACTGAGTTTTTCATTTCAATTATTATACTTTCCATTTCTACAAGTTCAGTTTGGTTCTTTTTCAAACATCATTAGTCATTTAAATCAATCTTACATTTCTTCTAACATATTGAACATCTTTATTTTATATTCTGTATCTGCAAATTTAATACTTTAGAATTTGTGAATTTGATTATGCTGTCATTTGTGTCCGCTCATTGTTCCTCTTACTGGCTTTTATTAAAATATAGTTTTGTGTTTTTTTAATTATGATTTCATAGGTCTTGAATTTTACCTGTAGGAATTGTTTAAATCCCAGGTTGAAGACAGGTTTCTCCCCAAAATATTGGTATTTTTCCTAGCAAGCAACTGGTGGAAAGGTTAACCCAGCACCAGTTAAAGTATCTTTTTAACATGAAGATTTTGGACCAATTACATAATGTGTATTCAGGATACACACATGCATTAGTGTTGGTTTGTGTCCACAGATTCTTGTGGGAGATGCATATTTTCCTCTCTATCTAGCACCACCATTCAAAGCCAGTAATTTCCTTTTTGAATCTCAAAGAGGAGATGCTATTTGTATTTTACACATGCTGAATATGAGTTTCACACTTACACTGCATATGTAGCTCTTTGAGATGCATCTTCATGCAGGTGAGTTTCCTTTTAGACTCTTCTCTCCCCTGACACCTGTGTTCTTCATGACTGTGAAATTTAAAAGCTAAGTTTCTTCAGATTTGGAAAGTAGCTTGAAGGTGAAAGTTGGCTTCAATGTTCTACTTATTGTTGGGGTTCTTCCTTTCAGTTCATTTTTTTAAACCTTTAGTTTAGAATAATTATATATGTAGAACAGTTACAAGGACAGTGCAGAGAATTTACATTTTCCTTTGGCCCATCTTTCATAACCATGGCACATCTGCAAAAAGTAAGAAATTAACATTGGTATAATACAATTAACTAACCTATAGACTTTATTCAGATTTCACTAGTTTTCTACTGGTATCTTTTTTCTGCTCTTTCATTTGAGTTTTGTTCTGCATCTTCCTCATTTTTTGTCCAGCTCACTGATGAACTTTAAGATTTTTATTTTTATTTATTTATTTATTTTTTATTTTGGTATCATTAATCTACAATTACATGAGGAACATTATGTTTACTAGACTTCCCCCTTCACCAAGTCCCCCCCTCCCCACATATCCCATTAGTCACTGTCCATCAGCGTAGTAAGATGCTGTAAAATCACTACCTGTCTTCTCTGTGTTGCACAGCCCCCCTATGCACCCCCCCACATTATACATGCTAATCATAAGGCCCCCTTTCTT